TGTATCACTGAAATTTTAAATGGTGGTACATCGAATCGTCCCGAAATTATTCGTGAGCTGATTGGATTGTATCCTATTAGTGCCTTTTTAGCTTGTGTGCTTAGTAAGAACCCCACACCCCTCATGTGTGAGGATTCTTCTCCTGACCAGATGAAATCTCCATTTGGCGTTTCACCTTTTCCTGTCCATCGCACTTCCGAAATACCAATTATGTGGTATCTGAAACGTTTCATTTCATTTCTGAGTAATTCTAGCTTGCCAACAGTCCATAGTGTTTGTACATTCCATGTTCCTACTGTCAGAGTATTTTTGGCAGGTTTTAGTTTTTGTGTGTTTTGTGTCGTACATGAGTTTTTTCCAGTCGCCAATTTTTCGACTTTGCCCTGGTCACTCGGCAGAGGACGCGGACCTTGTTCACCCGGGCGCCGTACGAGCCGGTATGGTTTCTTGTTGAAGTCGTTCATGGTTGGTTTCTGTCGTCTTGTTCTTTTTACAGACGGCGGTATCTGCACCCCTTCCGTCCAACACTCCTCCTTTACCCGGACTTGCGACCGGCACAGAAGCCGCTGGATTGCGGTCTCTGTGGTGGAGTTACATTCTATGATGATGATCCAAAATAGTAAATAAAGATACATAGAATATTAAAATTGCAAAAACCCACCGATAATGTATCATTGATTAGATTGTTGCATATGTGCCGTTTGCGTTTCCATAAATCATAGCATGCACCTCGATTAACAGCGTTATCTGCTTTATCCATTGAAGTACAAATATGGCCCCATATATTTGCTGTTGCTTTAGAATCATCTAACATACGAATTGCATCGTTATGCAGTGTTCGCAATGTTTTTAGGAAGATTTCTTCGTCAATTCTACCTTTCGGTGGCATAATCTAGAAATATTCTGAATTCATGCTACTTCAATAATTATACGACTATATATATGTATAAATCTATCGGCGAGATGAGTTATTGTTCATCTCTTCCACAATATATAGTTCATCGTCTCACACTCATGATACTCATTGAATAAAAATGAATTTTGAGTTTTACCCTTTGGCTATACAAAGGATATCAGAGTGTAGAGTACAATTAAAATTGTACTCACTGGTATTTATATATTGTTCTCGATCATTGACTGGATCATATCTGATCTAGCAATTTTTAATTGTATCAAGTATACAGTCTTCCTCTTTATAAAGTTAATTGACCATTCTGCTTCGTTTCATATATTTTTATTCTTCACTATAATTGTTGATGCATTCTGTTGCAGTGATCGTGTGATAAACTTTAATTGATCTGGTGCATATGGTCATTTCCTATTTGGGGGCTGTTCTGTCATGCTTGATCACACACACACACATGATCTTCTCTATTATATGAAGAGATATAGAAAAAACAATGCATATATAGAAATGCACAAATGCACAAATGAAACAATATATTCATGGCACATGTAGATTCACTCTATATCGTATCTATTCAGCAACTGATTTCATTTTTATTTAAGCTGCAAAGTATTTATAACTTTGTTTTAGATAAACGTCTTTCAAATTCATGATGATTCTTTTTCAAACAATACTGTCTATCATATTTCTCATCAATAGATTTATTATATCAGCAAATATATCGCACTCATCAGTGCGATCAACAATTATTATTGACGTCGATAAAGGTATTGCTCTTGATAAAATTGGTATTTTTTCTGAAAAATTTGAGGAAAAAATACTTCATATGTTTATACCTTTCAACAACTTATGTTCTGAATCTCCAAATTCTGATGTTTGTGAATATGTTCAATCGACAGATCCAGACGTTGTTGAAATAGGAGCATTAATACCATATGGTACACAGACGCCCACAACATATAATAAAGAACAAATATCGAATATTATTCAAGAAGACTTTCGAAGAATCATTTTACAACATAAAGTCGATCGTTTTATAGGAAAAACAAAATCCATTGTTTATTTCATTGATGATAATTTTTATATAACTCGTAATACTACTGCTCAATCGAAAATGCAAATTCTGCCTGAATTTACTAACATTAATTCACAAACACTCATACATCGTGTAACAAATCCGGCTACGCTAGCTCTGGAACAATTTTTCAATAATAAAGTTGGATATGATTTTTTAACTGATGAACAAATTATAGAAATTCTACCTTTAACCATTTCAACAATCAATGAAGCACTCACTATCGAAAATATAAAAGAGAATATATACATGCTCACCAGTTTAATTATCGGACAAGCGGTATATGCAATGAAGTCATGTTCAATACGACTCGATGAACACAAGAAAAGTGGCCCTGCGTGTCTTGTTGTTTCAACAGTTTATCGACGACTTCCGAAAGAAAGTTCATCATTTTATCAAGTTTATCGCTTAATACCACTGCCAGTATTATTTCAAGGTGAAGAATATACCTACTCAAATTTACCAACAGTATTTGGTTATAACAATCTTGAAAAAAAAGTTATATTATGGAATAATGATGATTTATCAGTTGGTTGTACATTTTCTAGAATCGTCCATTGTCGAAATTTTCCTATAAGCCTTTCTTTATCTGCTGCCCCTTGTCTTGAAGAACTACTTAGTGTGGAATCTTCATCCATTAGCAAATGTCAAGTGAGCAAATCAAAACCAGTTCATCAAAATATTTTTAATATCAAAAATAACATTTGGTATGCTTATTCCAATGAAGAATCTTTTCATTGTGAATCACAATCATTATTAACTGAATTATCAGATATTATAACTATTAAGGAGCCCATGATATTAAAATTGCCATGTGGCAGACCAGTTCGATGTTCAAATGTTCAATTGCCATCTACTACATGTTCAGATACAACTGTTACACTTATAACAAAATATAGTGATAATAATAATAATAATAACAATAATAAGCAATTTAGTTCAGCTCTTCGCCTTTCCAGAATTACTGATCAACTTGTTTCTGCTTATGAAATTGCTGCTAGAAATGAATTTCATGAATTACAAACTGAAATTGATACTAATCAAACATGGAATAAAAAAATCATACAAAAATTCGGCAGCACTCTAATTTCATTTCTTTCTTTAATATTAATAAGTGTTCTATTATTGATTATTAAGATAATTAAAAACAAAATTACGAAACAAGTTCAATACTTACAAACTGAAATCAATAAAATACAGAGGGACTTTATTGATGAACTGTAACTCTTAGAAAAATTTCAATCATATCGGTACATTTGAATATACTAAAGTAGCATGATCTGTTAAGTTTGATGTCTTTTTACTTATTAGTCGTAGATTTAGTTAAATTGTTATTGTAGAAATATTGTTAAATTCAAAAAATAGTTTCATATTTGTTTTCAATTGCTCATTTTTAAAAAAAGTGAAACTCAAAATTGATACTAGTGAAAAATCACGAAACAATAAAAAAAAATAAGAATAAACACACTGCGAATATCATCGTCTCACTTATTGATGAAATTTTTCCTTGAAGAAACAGTTCTCTTACGTTAGTATAATTTCTGTTTCTAAAGGAAAAACTATATTTGAATTTCGATACATGTCACAAGTTTTCATAATTTGTCATTTATTTTTCTCGATTGATTTATTTGTAATTTACTTTCATCTACCTCGGAGTATCGTAGATTCAAATATTTAACTTCTCTATATTCTCGATCAAATTCAATGATCGTTAATCTTTATTTAAAATCAAAAGTTGTGCTCATTTGTTCATACCTAATAATGGAATTAGATAAAAAATTGTTGTCTCACATCAGTATTGACGAAAGGAAAAATAACTAGAGTATAAAATGTTTTATGAGTGTTAGTTAATGAAGTCAATGATTGGGTTCGATTGTGTCCTGTGTAACACGAAAAAATGAAAAATGAAAGGATTTCACATAATATTTTCTTATGTTATCTGAAGTTGTAATAAATGATAAGTTAAGATTTTTTCATTAATGCAAGCTCATTCTGTTATTTGACATACGTAGCTTGTTTTATTATATCTACGAAGAATTTCACAATCTTTATCTATAAATTCATTAGTCATATCAAATAGAAATATATACTCTTATAAAAGACGATGATCTATTCTCATTCTCATGACTAGTAATATGACAGTCTAACTCTATAAAAATTCATTTCTATTTTTTAAATTCAAATCCAACCTTGACTTTGTTTCACCGTTAACCTGAGTTTTTTGTGAATCTTATTGTAATAGTGACTATAAAAAGTGAAACTATTTCATATTTATTTTTGAAGTCAATATTTTCGTCTTGATTTTTCTTACTTTTACTTAACAATTTGCCAATTCATCAAGAGTTAAATCAATGTTAATAGAGATTCTTCAACTTTAACTCACGTGATAAAAAAGATACCAAGTTCGTAATTACTATAGTTTTAGTTCTGAGCAAAGATTGCGATTAGAATTTTACATTTCAGAAATAAAAATTGATTGCAGAGAATAAAAATAAAGGATATTTAAAAATATATTGGTTCAGTCTTGTCTTATCTTATTTTACTAAAATTAGTATAAAATAGTATATAGCGTGTTTCACTATTTTGAAGATGAAACTCACATATTGATTTAGCTCTTTGATAATCTTTCATTTCGTTTGAACTGATATGAATAAAAAGATTCCCTTATTATCATTGATCAAAGATGATCTATTTGTGAAATGTATAGTTGAGTGTTTGCTTTTATTTGATTAGAAGACATTTGATAAGCCATTGATAAATGAGTAACTTTGTTGACTTTCATCGATGAACTTGTTATAACTTTCAAATAAAAATATCATTTAGTTTGAAACACAACGACGAAAGGTTTGTTCAATTCTAATGAATTACATAAAAATATCAAATAAATAAAATATGAGAATTTTAAAGAGTATCGAAGTACTCTTTATCTTTAACTGGATAATAACTAACTTAACTAATTTGTTTAAAGTTAAGAAAAACAAGTTATTTTAATAAATAAAATAACTCAACTATTGAAAAGTAATTCATATCTTGATTTTAATTTTGTTCGATGCTGATACATGATTAAATATATGATATTCTCTGAAGATATTTTATATGAAAATTTAAAACATATTTACTTTATGTTTTCGATAGAAAGCAACGATAAATAAAGTTATTTATCTAATAAGCATAATAATTTTAGTATTTTTCAAGTAATAAAAATCAATTTTACAATTTCTGCAGTTATGCTTTTAATTCCTCAATTAAGTTAATTATTGTGTAGTTTTATCTTTCTTGAATTAGAATATTTCGATATTCTTCACATATTTTTAATATAAACGTAATCAATTTTAATAGTTCTCAAACTCAAATTATCAAAATTATTGAAATATACTTTATGTAAATGATAAGTACTCTTAAAACTGAAGAATATAATATAAAATTTGATTTATTTTATTTTATTAATATAAAAAAATACTTAAAATTATTTATTTTTTCAGTTGTTTTACATGAATAATAACATATTCAGAATTATCGCGTAAAAATGAATTAAACAACATACAATTTGTTAGTTTTTCGAATAAATAAGTTTGATAAGAACAAAATTCATTTTGTTAGCTTTCACATTTTTGTTTCGTCATTCTATGTACTCTACAGAAATAGTTCACTCTGTATTCAATTCGACGAATATTTAAAGAAATTTTCATAGGAGACAATAAAAAAATTATTTGTATAGACATATTTCGATTATTGTACCAAAAATAGTTGAACTGATGGATCTGATTTTGTTATCAATGACGGATTGAATTCAATGTATTAGATGCTGTTTTAAAATATATATTCATCGTATTTTTTCAATTGCATTTCATGTATATTTCATTCGAATTTCAACTTGTGTAACTTCGAAGAAAGAGTATACTTCATGACATGCTGATGCTATCTTATGAATAGTGATATCTTCCTTTTTCAACTTATGTTCAGAATGACAAGAAGAAATAGAACGATAAAAAGAAAAAATATTTTTCAATTATGTCATTTAGGTCGTTGATAGGATGAACAGAACAGCACATAGAAGAGAACACTTCTCTCTTTTCAATCACGTGTACAGAAAAAAGAATTGCGCAGTCATCTTTGTACTTTTTTTTATTCTATTTCTCAACAGAAAGTTCAACCTTTAAAAGAAAAAAACACATCATACCTACCCCCACTTACAGTGATCATAATCAAGAAAACTAAAATATATTTATATATATATATTCCAATTAATAATAATTGTTCTTTTCTAGACCATTTCTTCTAACAATTCATATTGGCTAACGTATAATGATTGTTTTCTTCAAAAAGATTAATTTACTTTTGTGATCTTTTCAGCAGTCACAACAACAACAAAAAATATTGATTGTTTCATAGAAATTGTGACAAGAGAATTCAATACAAATCAGACTGTTGTTCAATCAAACATACCATTTTTTCTTGATCTTGATTAAGATAATGATCATTAGGAATGAACTGAATCATTATCTGGGTGTGTTTCTTTCACAAGTTGATTATTTTGTGAGGAAAAGAGAAAAAACAAAAAGAACTAACTAGATTAATGGATTTGCATAGGTCATACGAAACATCATAATGGGATTGTTTCTCAACTTGTGTAACGTTTACAGAACAAACGAAATAAGGGTAGGGTTGTGAATTTATTGTTGTTGCTATTTATAACAATAACGTTTCTTTCTGAAAAAGATCCTGTCTCAGCTCGTTTTATATTTTTATTGTATCCGTTATATGAACTTATGCTTTAGAACAAACTTTTAACTTCAATATTGCTAATTCGCATGATATAACCAATATAAAGAATGAACTGAATTTTCAAAATAAAAGCTATTTGTTATATATCTGTTATTTATAACAAATAACTATCGCAAAAAATGATTGTTATCAATAAAAAATAACAATAAGATAACAACTTCTCATCCCTAAATAAGAGCGAATGATTTATCATATATCGATAAACATCTATTTCAATTCTGACTTGAACTCATATGAGAATACCATATTTTATGTATGAAGAAAAAAAACATTTCAACAAAGACTTTTATTTCAAAATAAATAGTTGAACGAAAAATTTACAAAAATATACAACACAAAAAAAACAAAAACAAAATATTTACAATATTTACAAGTTGTACATATCAAGTTGATCATAAAGCTTGAGACGACAGTGAGTTGGAAATGGATTGAGTAATTGTTGATGGTTGATAATGTACAATATGATCATCTAAACAGTAAATCAAATATAGAAGCAGAGAAGAATTCAATGAACTTACTTTGTATTTGTTTTCGCCGTTTATATTCAGCAACCGATTTTGGTGTCACCCAGGCACGCTGAAATTACAAAAATATAGATTAAATTTATGAACATTTCTTATAACTCATCACTTACTTTGAATTCACAACCGTTTCGAAGACATTTGATACTGCACCAACAAGTGCCTACGAATCCACCCGATGAAATGGCAGCCAAAAGAAGTTGGAGTACACTCGATATCCAATGAGAAGACTTACTTTGAGTGCTTGTAGACTTCTCATTAGATATGAGTATACTCGAAGTTTCTTTTGGATACATCATTTCACCGGTTGGAATCAAAGGCACCAGAGATGCAGTGTCATAGTCTTCGAAAGACTTGAAACCAATCGGCTAAATATATTAAAAAAATATTAACATTTCTCAAGAATTAAATACTTAAAATTACCCGTGAGTGAACACAACCGACCAAAGCAAGTACGACGATCATTAACGAAAACATTATAATGAATAATATGAAAAATGATTCTTGAATGTTTACATGAAGCATGGAAGCATATATATATATATGCATAAATACACTTATCTGAAACAACATTACACTAATTTAATTATCCTTCAAACAAAAAAGATACTATCAAACGACCCTTCTCTCATGAAACATTTCAATAAATCGCCGATTGATACATTGCAGCCATCAATCAAATGTAATTGCATAACAATTTCGAAAACAAAAAAAAGAAAGAAAACCGCAATCGTAACACACTACCATTTCATAAATCATTTCTCGTCTTTCAAAAAGAAATTTTTCACACCATCTCCCTATCTCACTTCTCATGCCTCACATGTGCTTACATTACAAAAAATTCAACTAAAACCAACACACAACATTATGATCTATTTTTTGTTATTTTTTCATCTTTCAATTAACAGTTAACTTTTTCCATTGCTTTCAAAATCGAATATTTGTAGTTGAGATATATCGTTCGATAGAGAAATGAATTATCCATTACATGTTGAATAGCGCAATTCCGGGCAATGGATGGTGTGGTCACGATTTCACTTTGTATCAAAAAAATTCCGCATTTTTTCAGCAGTGAGATATTGGCAGGCTATTTTTGAGGGGGGGTCCAAATGGATCC